GTAAAAGGTAATTAGAAAAGTAACTCAGATTCGAAGGGCAGTCGTTCATCTTAATAAAAATGTTTCCCATGGAGTGTGATTCAAGGTTACAGCATAGAGAAAATAGTGTGGAGCCTCAGCGGTAAGGGGAAATCTATGGAGGAGTTTTCTCTCCTTTTATGTTTGAGTTTGTAAAAAAAATGGTCCAGTGTGCCAAATCTCGTCTTTTAAGAAGTGAAAAATTAGATGGTAAGAATGGAAGTGAAGATGAAAGGGACAAAGGGTAGGGTAGTATTCATTCAAGGAAAAATGGAGCAGGCAACAGCCTTGCATGCTAGAGTTTTGCACAATACCATCAACTCACCACCAATACACAAAAACTGTTGTATTCATCCTTTGAGGATGGATAGTCAACTAAGAATGAGCTTTGGTCACATGTATGCTGGCCAATCTTCCCCTGCTTTAAGAACAGTCAAAATAAGTATCTGTTGTCCATTTTTTTCCTTTTCATTTTTACTGCAACATTTCTTCTCATGAGGATTTTGAATATCTCATTATGTATCTTCATCTTCTTTCATAACAAACTATGTTAATAAAAGAGAACATAAATTAGGCATTAACAAACTTAGTAATTCCTTTACGTCAGGTTCTCCTCTTTAATTATGGCATAACTGAAGGTCGAAGTTTAGTTACTAAATTTTTTCTACGTTCCACCCATTTGATATTTCCCCCAAAAAGTACTTAGATGTCAGTTAGCAAGTCATGTGACAAATCCTGCAAACACTTAATTGAATGATTTGAGATATTAATATATTATGTGATGCTGAAAGGTGATTAACACATTTTCAAATCACAACATCAAACATACAAAAGGTGCTAACTGAGGGGGTGAACACATTAAATTTGGGAGGGGAGGGATGATTTTATAATATATTAATATCTCAAACAAACCTTGTAGAATCCTGTAGACACTTGACAAATGTTGTTTGCAGCTGAGGAAGAAAAGGCTTCAGGGAGATTCCTCCCTTTTTTATCATCGATGTTAGAGTAGACAAGATGGCACTCTTCACTTGCCATGGGAATCGATCACCTATAATTCGGATAAGAGGCCTACGACAAACAAGATTGGCAAAGTCAAGATATATAAAATATAGGTCCCCAAAATAATAAATGATAAAATATAGCATTCATTTGGGTATGATCCATGGACAATCAAATGCCAACCTCACCTAAAGTCTTAAGAAGAAAATATGTAAACATAAAACCATGAGAGGAGTAAGATCAAGCTCTAAATAAACTTACTGGTCAAAACGGCCCTAAATACCCTATTTGTCAAATTAGCTTTAACACCCAGTCAAGGACTCAAGAATCAAATCAATAACTCCAGTTGCAAGGGAAAGACATAATAATTGTATATCTTTAATAAATGAGACTAGCTGAACTTATTGAAATTTTCTTAAAAGGGAAAAAGTCAATCAAAACAATTTTGAGTCAACACATGGATATAAAAATTATAAAGAGGGAAACATTATGCCACTAACCAATGAATTGGTTCAGTTAGTGTATTCAAATAAGAGACCAGAACATTCACTAAATACTAAATTATAACATGACGCCATTTTACTTGATTCATACATACAGCTGGTCATACTAAAATATGAACATTTATAAAAACAATTCATACAATTTTTAATTAAATACCCTGTTATTGGGATGACAAACTCTTTGAGTGATTGTTCACTGGTAACTTCTATCAATTCGCCAAGTCCCAGAGCAGCCTGCTCCCTCAATTCAGCAGACCCGCTTATCAGACCCTACCAAAGGTATAACTTGGAAAATGAATTCACAATTGAATCTCCAAACTTTATATCTAACTCACGATACAAAGCTCGGATATATATTAATTTTATTATGTAAAGATCAAAGACACAAAAAAGATATTGAAACTCTGCTTACAGAAAACTATATATACAGAGCTCAGTTACAGGACAAGTCAGTTAAAACTATATAATTAAATCAGTTATAATAACCACAAAGAAAACAAACTATAATATTTGCCTCAAACAGTTACACTAAATCAAAATGGAAACAAACATTTGTAACAAAATAAAAAACCAATAACATTGTCTAACAGAAGATGAACTCAATCCCCCCTCCCCCACAAAATCAAGGGGGCTGAGAAAATGAAGGATCTCTGTTACATTGAGTTCGTCCCCAAGAAAGGAAAATCATGTAGGAGACAAAGCCTTGGGTAGAAGATACACTCACCTCACAATGTTACATCAATGAGCAAGCATTGCTATACCACAATATTTTAATTCTTTACATAACCAAAATGTTAGAATAAATATAACTTATTGTAAAGTTGATGTGTGATTTGTGCTGCACCTACTTCCTAGATATATCTTTTCAGATTCTCTTCTCTCTCATACATTGTATCTTAGGTATCTAAAGTTGTTATAAATATGAGATCCTAAAAGAGGGAAATCATTCCAAATCCTTTTCATTATTCTCAAGTCAAAACAATCAGCAAATTTGTAGTATTATTTAAAAAAATGTACATAGATGATATTAGAGCCAATAGAAAAATAATGCAGAAAAAAGTCCCACACAGAAGGGTAAGAAGAGTTCTACTTTTCACTCAGCTGGAGGGATTAGGGAAGGAAGACTGAACAATGAGATAGTGGAACAGCAAGACCACACAAGAGGATAAACTTACATGACAGCAATAGCATAGAAAATGGTCGATATGATAGAGTCACAACATTCCATAGCTCAAAAAAGAACATTGGCCTTTCATTACTTTAAAAGAAAGCAATCAACCATAAAAAGTCCTGAATGTATCAGACAGGATAAAAAGGTTTTAAAAACAACCTGATACCTACACTTAACTATCCGAAAAAAAATGTGAAAATGGTAAGTATGCAACTGAACCACAAAGCAAGTACTAATTATACAAAATTAAGAAATTGCATTTGAATAAAAAGAAGAATACTTGGAGAAAAATTGGCAATATAGGCTGAAGTGCTTTAGGAAGACAAAATCCAGGTATGAGAATTGGACCTCCCTGTAGAACAATTATGCACAAAACGCATTCACAAATAAGTCATTAGGAACCAAAAACAATATCTGAAAGTCTCAGATAGGAATAAATTCCATAGTCATAGATTCACCTTCTTCTTCCTCCGTTCCTTGTCTCGAGATGTTGACACAGCATCTCGGACAAGTTTTATATAAGAAGGAAGAACCTCCTTGGGTACTGAAATAATGACCCTTGACAAAGCTTCCCAAGCAACCTAACAAAGAGAAATTTATAAAGACATACTATATAGAGAATCTGTGTATAGTATCAAGAACTCCAACACTTACTGCAACAGTAGAAGAATCAGGATCACTTAGCAAGATGATTAAGGTAGATATCATGTTTGGAGCTTCATCAACCAGATATAACTTGCTATTTTTGAAGAAATATCCTATCAGATATGAACTAGATCTTCTTACAACAGCCTGTAGACAATTATCAAAGAGGGAACAAAATTTTAAGGAGGGGCATGTAGGAGAGAGACGATGGGCATTAAATTATATCAATTACCACAAGAATATTACCTGACTGTCATTAAAACCTTTGACCAGCTCTGATATCAGTGGCTCAATACCTTCCTCATCAATAACTAAGACCACTGTTTCAGCAGCTTCCTTAGACAATGTTTGCACCTCCTAGAACATCAACCAGAACAAAGGATAAATTTATCCAAATCAGTCCTTAGCAAACATGAAGTTTGAATTCTAAAACAGTATTTTCTCCAAACGATCTGACTATGGTCTACCTTGTTATCGTCACCCATTGCAGATAGCAAAGGTGGAAGCACAGTACCAAGATGAAAGTTAAGGCCAGGACCAGCAACCTCTGCTAAAGCTCCTAAAGCATGTGCATTGAAGGCACTGCACAGGTACCAAGAAAGTTCTCAGTTAAAAATACAAGTGACATATAATCTAGGTGACTGGATCAAAACAGAAAGAAACATACGACAATGGAGGATGAACCAGTTTAGGTAAAATATGTGGCAATACCGCACTCGTTCGGACACTGCAAAAAGAAGGATAAATGCAAAAAGTTTAGCTTAAAATAAACAAGAAATCAACAGAAATAAATAATAACTTCTAAACAAGACCTTAATGCTAATGCACATTTTACCTTAAAATTTGCTTAAGACCATCAAGTGCGGTATCAGAAGTTTCATCATCCTCCAATGCATGTAAAAGTGTTGGAACAATCTCGTCAATAGCTAGCATTCCAGCACTCTACGAACCAAATTTGAGAGATAAGGTATTGGAAATAATTTAATCTCAACCACCACTGAGAAAAACAAAAAAGTACAAGTAAAAAGTGCAACCTTATATAAGGTGCTGAATGCTAAACCAGCTGATTCACGAACCTCAGGCACACTGTTAACATATCCATCTAAATATCAGATAATGCAGTCTAAAATTTATGCAGACAGATCAGAATTCAAATGAACGAACCTATCACAGAGTGCAGTCCGAATAGTTGGGATGAGTTCGTTCATGAAAGTCAATAACTGACTCTTACCAGCACTTGCCATCACTTCACTCAGACCAACACATACACCCTTTCAACCAATAAAATCCACAATGGTATCAAATAACAAGTTGAGCTATTGAATCTAAGAAAACCAATTGAAAACCTTGTTCATTAGGAGGAAAAAAAGATCCCAATAACAAACTATTCTAACCTGTCTTCTGCTGCTGTCAGGGTCGCCCAGGCCCTGGGATAAGATTGGAATTATCAAGGGAAGTACTCGTTCACCAAGCTTCCTGACAAGTTCACCCAGTGATCGTCCAGCAACCTGCGTTAGCAATATGAATATGTAATTTCTATAAGCTACAATAGAAAATAGATTGACAGATACAAGTGTCAAGCTCAGACCTGCCGCCTTTCAGATGATGGTGATGCAAGGGACGTAATCAAAGTGTCCATCAGAACTGGCATAATTTCCCTCAGAGTCTTGGGGGTATTTGCCACAATAGTTTTCCACACGTGTAAAGCAGCCTAAAAAGTGAAAAGAAACATTTTCCTCCTTATGTTTGTTGAACTTATCTGCATAACAATAACACTATATTGACAAAAGAGAGCAAACATAGAAGTTGTTACCTGACGCACTGACAAACTGACATCAGCTCGGACCATATACAATGCAGCAAGTACTTCATTACGCTTATCACGCCCAAGAACTTCAATGATGGCACGACCATGTGCCTCTGTACTAGAACCTTCATCATCACTGCCACCCTCAAGTAAAGCTTTACCAGAAGTTCCAGCAACCTGAAATGAATAAGTTCACCAAAAGGTTAAATCAAATTCTGTGAAAGAGTTGCTCTAGGATGACTAACACATACTTTGAATAATAGATCACCCAACAGCTCGACTGAGCTCTGTCGAATTCGCCAACTGTCATTAAAAATGCCATCCTCAACAGCAGGAAGGAGAAGGGGTAGAGAACTGTAGGAAAAAATTATTATTAGAAATTATTGAGCTGAGAATTGAAATAAAACTAAGGAAAGGGACCATGAACACATAAAAGCAACAATATAGCAAATGGAACATACGTTGTTGCATAATGCTCGACAAGAACATGGCCAGCCCCCAGTGCAGCATCTCGTACAGATTCATTTTCATCAGCCAGACCTATAAAACATTAAAAAAAATAAACAGCTAATTTAGAGAACAATCCAAAAAGTAGAAATGATAACACATAAATTAGCCAACAAAAGATAATTTCTTACCATCTAGAATAGCAGGAAGCACCTGGGGCAGATAGTTTTGAAACTGGACTCCTAACGACCGTGGCATGTACTACAGGAACATTTTGCAAAAATGATTAAATGAACTCAATAAATAAACTTCTAATTTTCTAAATGTGACATATTTTACCTTGAACAGAGTCAAGTATCCATCTCGTACAGGTGCCTTCGGATGGGAGCAATTTCGAATAATGTCAGGAAGTACAAGCTCAAAGTACTCGATACCAAGAGCAGCTAAGACCTGTAAATGTACAAGTCAAAATAACAATAAAGTATCAGTGATCTTGATAGGGGATTAAAAGTATATGTAAGAAGGAATAAAAAAGGCGGGAAGTAAAGAAGTCAGTTAGCAGTTTGTTAGAAGTATATGAGAGTATAAATAAAGAGTTTGTTGAGAAGGGTGGGGGGAGAGAATTTTGTATTGTTTAGTGTGAGAGGGGGGGAAGATGAGGCTTCCTTGATAGCTGTGGGAACAATTGTATTTTCATTCATTCACTAAATACAATCAGAGGTTATTCACTGTGTTGAGTTTGTCTGGTGTGTGTTTCTACTCTTTCTCTTAACTTCCTGATTAAAGAAGTCTATCAACTTGGTTCGACCTGCCGGATACAAATCAACGGAGAGGCAAGATGGAGAATAGGATGAGTGCACTGGAGGGAAGATTCGATTCCATGGAAGCAATGCTGATGGAGATGCGAGCAGAGATGAGAGGAAGGGCTCGAAATGGGAGTCGCGACCGTGGAAGACGAATTGTTAATCGCGATCGGGAGAAAAGAGGGAACCAGCGGAGGAGTTCGGAGGGTAGCCATTCGGTGAATGGAAGTAGGGAGACATCGGAGGATGAATCGGAGGAAGAACGCGATGACGTTCAGAAGAGTTGGATGAAGAGAGTGGAATTACCCACTTTCGAAGGGACTGATCCGACGGGATGGATCGCAAGAGCAGAGAAATTTTTCGAAATACAGAGTGTGACTGAAAAGGAGCAGATGAAGCTAGTGTACATCTGTATGGAAGGGGAAGCGAACCATTGGTTTCGCTTTTGGCGGAAGAAGGTTAAGAAACCTACCTGGGCGACATTGACGGAGGCGATGATTAGGAGATTCGGAGGTAGACACCGGGGAACAATTTTCGAAAAATTAGCAGCCGTGCGACAGCGGGAATCAGTGGATGAATATGTGAGGGAATTTGAAATCCTGGTATCTCAGGCTATGGGAGTAACGGAGGAACAGCTGCTTGGGTATTTTTTTGCGGGACTCCAAGAAGAATTGCGAGATCTCGTTCGGCCTTACAATCCTCGCGACCTGTTAACTGCGATGGAAAGGGCGAGGGATGTGGAGCAATCGGGGTTGGTGGCGAGGGTGACCAGAGGAGGTGCGGTGAGTAAAGGAGGACCAATTTGGGGGAAGTATACCGGCAGTGCGGGCACAGTAGCTAGCACGGAGATCTATCGAGGGTCATTAGAGGGGCGCGTGAACAGTAGCGGAGGTCCGAGTCAGAAGAAAGAAGCGACGACCAGAACCGCTGGTTCTAAAGTGGAAAGCACGTCAAGCGGCGGTGGACCGAATCGCGGATTGCGAATGCTGCCGTATCCAGAATACCTTAAGAGAAAGAGTAGAAACACACACCAGACAAACTCAACACAGTGAATAACCTCTGATTGTATTTAGTGAATGAATGAAAATACAATTGTTCCCACAGCTATCAAGGAAGCCTCATCTTCCCCCCCTCTCACACTAAACAATACAAAATTCTCTCCCCCCGCCCTTCTCAACAAACTCTTTATTTATACTCTCATATACTTCTAACAAACTGCTAACTGACTTCTTTACTTCCCGCCTTTTTTATTCCTTCTTACATATACTTTTAATCCCCTATCAGATCTCCTTAATAAATACCATGTTGAATTTAGAGAAATGAAAAGGTATAACTTATTGATTGGTAAAAATAATAATCACACTTGAATGTCATTTAAAGTGGCAGTATTTATACAATGTATACATATGCAAAGAACAGATCTAACTACCGGGAATCAAAGAGCTCTGATAACAAGTTCAGATCAGTGAAATGAAAAGATATTATTTATCACAACTGAAAAATAATAATGAATTTATCACACCTGAATGGGGTTTAAGGAGGCAGTATTTATACTATGCATGCATGTTTAAAAATCAGATCTAAATAACCAACTGTACAATGACAGAAACAAACATCTAACAGACAAGCAAGACAGAAAACTTGAAACTAACACTTCAAAAGCGAACAATTACAGAGAAAAGAAGTACTATTCTCACTACGTTATAACCAATATGTCATTGCCTGATTCTTGTCACTTTCCAGTTCTGCTCTAAATACCTAGGTCATCTAACTCCACAAATCTTCTATAACAATTTTACTAATCAAAATGTACAGGGTTCAATGAAAAAACACCAATATTTACATAATAAAAAGTCTCTAAAAATTTACTACCCAGCTAGTAACTTCTTTTCAAAATAAATAATTCTTTTGTTTTTTATTACCCTTCTACATATTTATTTATTCAAAATTGTACTCTCTCCCTTTTCACAAGATTTGTCCGCCACTCTTAACAAAGTTCATGTTTTTCAACTCGGCCATACTAGATTAGAAAAAACGTGAATCTTAATGAAATTCCAAAGGCCTTAAAACGTAAAATGTATTAAAAGAAAAAATTTGACCTCGCTCAGCCCTTGTGCTGCTCCAGAGCGTTCAACATTACTATTATCAGACTTTAATGTGTCAAACAACCACGGGACAAGATCAGGGAAATTTTCTTCACCCATTCCTCCTATAAGGGATCCAATGGCTCTAGCAGCAACTGACCGAACTTCAGGTATAGGATCCACAAGCACCTGCTCTTGTAATATATGCACAAAATGATAAGAAACCAAGACCAACGTAACAAAAGTAAGAGCAACAATATGCAAAAAGTACCTTTTTTACTTCAGGAAGTAGCAATCCTATATATGGAATCATATCCTTCGGTTCTGTAACCAAGGAACACATGTTTCCAACTATTTGGGCTGCCCTCTTTTTGGTGTCAGCACTACGTTCCCTCAACCCTCGATGTACTATTGGTACTAATAATGCAAGTGAAGGCGCATCAATTGAATTAACAAAGGTTGTCTGCAACCAAACAATAAAATTTAGGTAACTAAGCATAAAACTGAAAAAATTGAACAAGGTAAATTTCATAAATCTTACTTGGAGAAGAATATCAAGGGAATATTTTGTATGCTCATTTGGATCACTGAGCCCCTTAAGTAGAGTAGGGACAAGAGCAGATATTTCTGGATTCTTTATGACACTCCCAACCTGAACAAATAGAAAACATGAAAATTAATAACAAAAATCACAGCAACAGGAATCAAGTGGATATAATATAGCTCATAACTCAACACAAACCTGTTGAAGGGCCATTTGCCCAGCTGACTGGACTTTAGGATGCGTATCAGTCAAAACCTTCAAACAGCAAGATGGGTTGATGAACACAATCTATAGCTTAAAAGGAATTTAGAACTCAAAATGTAGTGTTTCCTTTATGTCATACCTCAGTCAATTTGGGAACAATCTTAGGGAGACACTGAGACAACTGTTGAGGAGCACAGTAAGCCATAGCACCAAGAAGTTGTACACTACTTTGTTTTGTCCTCCAAGCTTTATCTTCAAGACCCTGAGAAAATAGATTAGCTGTGCAAAATTTCATTGATGTAGAAGCACAATAAATGTCTATAAGTAGGTAGGAAGCAAACATAAATTCTCGTTCAAATTGCAAACTCAAACCACATTAAGAAAAGTTGGATAATAAAATTTTGGAAAAATGTCACTAATTTACTCTTCAGATTATAAGATGCAACAGGCATTAAAGCCTATTCAGAAACTAAAACTAGAGAAACCGAGAAAAAAATTCAGTGTATTCACAACCTTAGAAGCATGGAACTTGGTAAGAAAACTTTGGGAAAGCAGCATTTATGAAATGAGAGACCAGTACTAAAAAGGAAAAACCCATAGCCCCATCATAATATCATGCACCGGTAATAGTAATAAAACAAAAGAGAAATCCATAATAGAAGAAATTTACAAGTCATAGACGAGTCAGAACAATTTCCAGTAAGTATGTGGCGGTTGCAGTCATCTAATCCCTCACTCCACTAATAAAAGATTACAACAGAATGTTCCTTAATTCACAGGCAAAACCAACAGTTTCGTTACGACAAAGCATTCTTGTTGATATATTGTTTAAAATCAAAAGGGGAAGAGGAAGACAAACATTTCACATAGTTAATATCAATCAATTACATCAAGTCAAGATTTTTAATCTAAACAGGAGCATTACGGGAGTATAACATCAAAGCATCACAAGACATCAAAATATGCCTCCAAAATCATAATGCTAATCAATGTTTATCACCTTCAAAAGAGATGGAAGGACAAGCTTCACTCCTTGAGCACTAAGTTGAGACATCATTGCACGAGCAGCACATTCAGCCGCTTCCCGAACCGCAACAACTTGATCAGAGAACGAAACCAAAAGTAATGGTAACATTTGAATCACGTACCTGAACAGAATTATTGAGAACACAAAAAAATGGCAATAAATATAAATTTAAAAAAAAAATCAGTGAAGAAATATTTAGCAGCTTACGGTTCAAATATTCTGCCCAGTGTTTCACAAAGGCACTCAAATCCAAGTAAGGCTCCTTCACGAGATTTCGCAGAGCTCCTAAAGTTTAAATAAATTAACATAAAAATAATGGTAAACTCCATTGTCACATTTTAATGGTCAAAAGTGACATACAATGATTTTTTTCAATTCCATAAATTGAATATGATACGCAGTGTGTTAAAAACAAAGATGTAACAGTAGACTCTCCACCTCTCAGCAAGACTCTCTTGAAGTGTATCACTATGTTGAACTTTTTCAAGCAGGAAATGCCAAATCCCCTAAACCACCCAGCAAGTCCAAAATCAGCCCACGGCGTTCTCCATATTTTTCACTTTTCATCATTTGATCCATCAACCGCTTAACAAGAGCAGCTGCATCATCCTAGTGGTTGTAGTATCAATAACAAAAGAATTCACTTGAGAAAATGCAGAAAACATCAAAATGTAAGACAGCATTAACCTTAAGAGCCAAAAATGAAATTATGTTCTGGTGAGGCATAGACAAAATTACATGACAGTAAAACCTTGAACTTTGAACTAGATGAATTACTCCTAAACAACTAAGTGTGTAGAAATCAATATTTTAGCAGTGAAAACACTATTCCGTTTATACTAGTAATAAAAAAAACAAACTTATTAAATGATCTAAAAGATTTTTGCTGTGCATGAAAAAGATTTCATGGAGTTGTGCAGTAGTAAAATCATAATTAATGATATGGCCTTTTTCCACATAAAAAAGAAATCTTTTGTTACAATAGAAGCAAAAGTGATGCTAATCAAAGTCCTTTTGCTTCATAAAAATAGCATATCAAAAGAAATGAGTGCTAACTTGTAATAGCATATCATGGAATTTAGCCAATTGTGGAATATCATTGAGAAAAAAGAATTTGGTTATCATTGAAATGATTCCTACTTGACCTATTGCTTGTGTCCATATTCCATACTATCATTTCAATAAACAAGTGGGTAGAAAATCAAGAATAAATATGCAAGCAAGAGGTTTTTTGGTCCTGTGTTTATTTAATGCCGAAAGATAGTAAACTCCTTCCAATAGATCACTCTAGTAATATTCCAACTAGACCAAAGTGAAAGGATCAGATATTAAATGTAAGAATGCTCTTGCGTACTTGTTTTGATTGCATTAATGGAGATAAGCAGGCAGAGACCGCCCGCTGAACTGCTTCTGAAGGAGTATTTAAAACATCCAACAACTTGTCCACAACAGCATGAACCTTGGGATCGTCCTGCTCAAAAAGAAAAGAAAATAGAACACATTTTAAATTCAACTAGCTATGTAAAATTGGGAACGAGGAACAAGCTTTAATACTAACCTTTGCCAAGTGCTTTGCCAGAGCCCCAGTAAAGATAACCACACCCTCACGAACCAAATCATATTTTTCTTCGTCTGGAGCCTAAGAAATTAGGGGAGAATTTATTAATCAAGCATCACATATAACTCCCCTCATTTATGTTTAAAGTGGGCATCTACTGTGCAAGGAATGAGCATAGAATGAGGTATCCAGCAGGTGAATCTCCAAAAATAATAAGAGGAACTCACTGTTTTGTTCAAGTAGTTCTCAAAGATGGGAAATAACAACGAGACATTATCCTTTCCATTTTTATCAATGATCAATATACCAGCATTAATCATTCTACCTTCTAACATCAGCATTTGGATCAGCCTGCAAAGCCAATCATTCCACAAAGTCAACCTACACTGGATACTGTCAGATAATACCTCTGGCAAAAAATTTACCATGTACAATACAAAACACACTACCATCAAGAGTACAACTATCAGGTTGCCACAAACACTTTTTCTTTATTTGAAATTTTAAGCAGATATTTTTTATTCCATCACCTTAACCTCTCCACGTATCGTCGGAGAGCATATAAAAAATTAAAATAAACAACACTTTTATTTTAAACTGTTTCATTTTATTTTCAGACAAGGGATATTAAAAACATAAATGCCAGTAAAAGTTACCAGAGCCCTGATATTAGAAATGTCATGACAACAGGCAAGTCTTTTGTTCTCAAAACATCAGCAGCAGAATGTAATGCTAAAGCTATTCCTTGCCTACCAAGCCAACCAGCATCAACATTGTCATCTCCAGCACCCATGTCACGAATATACAACGAAATAAAGTGGAAAGGGACTCCTGAAAAAATTATCAGTAAATAATGAGACAAAACAAACAGCAATAAAATGAAAATTAATGAATCAAAAACATACTTGTATAGAATCTGGATGTTCATCCAAGGCAGCAGCCAATGCTTCCGCAGCTGCCACACGAACATTGTAATTAATGTGAGAGAGTGCTTTGTACAGCCCTGAAAAATCAGTTCCAAAATCAAACCCATAATGATCCCATATGTCTTCTGCCACTTGCGCAACTGACTGAAATGTTGAAAAAAGTAAATTAACTGTCATTCCAAATAAAGTAGTTAAAAACCAAAAAAAAATTTCACAAGTAGAAAACAGTACAAAATTACTAAGCAATATTGGCCAAAGCTATTGTAGCAATACAAAGAAAATGAAAACCCTATTGTACTGCAATGAAAATAATTCATAACCAGAACAAAACTAAAGCATAAAATAGGCCAGTATTTCAGTTCATGACCTGCAAACGGGGAACAAAAAAGCCTTCTCCAAGTGCCTGTTGAGAATTTTAATGTTCAAGTATTTAACCCAAATTATTTAGAACAGTTAGACAGTTAGTCCACAGGAGAAATTACCAAATATATCAACAATTGAACTAGAAGATATCATGGCATTGCACTGGTACTTTTAAATTCATGTCAAAAGCTTTTAAAAATATCAAAGGAAACAATAATCATATTTCCATTGGTTAATAATCGGTAAAACACATGTCATGTGGAACGGAATACGGAGGACCTATCCTTCAATCAATATTACTGATTCTATTATTAAGAAAGAAATAATCAATCTTGTTAAGTAGTAGCCTTCCTAGTGCTGCCATAACGTATTCTACAATGAGAAACCTTTTATCCAATCTTAAAACAAACCTTGTCACAGGTAAAACGCAACTTCAGCATATGACAAAGAGGCCACAATGTTCATATACATGCAGCCCATTTACTGTCTCTTATATGTGGAATTTTGGCATCTGCCATCCGCTATACATCCACAACTTGGAATAAATTAACAAGACATTTTTTATTTGATTTTTTAGTTAAAAAATGCCTATTTATTCCGACCCTTACCTCCTCCGCATCCCCAAACTCAACCCATATCTCTGTTGTATCATTGTTTTCCCCAAATTCCCAAATTGACCCATTCCGATTTCGCATTGCATTTTCCTGCCACAGATTCACAGGCACAAAAACAAAAAGATATAGGAAGGTACGTTCCATTTCTTGAGTGAAACTTAAATTAAAGTATTGCAAGATTGCCTGTCTTAGATTTCGCATAACCAAGAGAAGCAAAAACTACAAAGGATGATTTTAAAATACGTACCAAAGATAAAGAGCAGCCAAGTCAGTCAATATATAAATTCACCATTTGAGATCCCAGTAGGTCGAGTTTAAACCAACCTAGGGGTCTATAAATATAGATTCTATAGGTAATTACCTTTAAACACTCCATTGAGAATCCAGAATCCAGAAACTTATACTAAGGATATATCTTCTGCTGCTTCTATTCAACATTGGATTACTGATTCGTTAATTCAAGGGCTGTTTCATGATCGTTATTGTTGAGATGCAATTACACTTATAGCCTCATGATACTAACAAGACCCAAAACCAAACCCAAAACCCCAAAAGATCTAGTAAGTTCACCCCTATAAGAAATAACACTAAAAAATTACTAAAAGGATTCAAGTATAATCTATCCAACTTAATCTACATCACTGCTACTAATTATTATTTTATGTTGTGTCTTGTAATGGGTCACTGCCATTTTCTTTTAATGCTGTAGTCATGTTCGGCAGGTGCAACAGTCTGCACTCTTGCTATCACAGTGATATCTGTTTGACTTTTGTTACAGACACACATATTTTATGCTGAGTGAAAAACTCATCTTTTCTCATAAAACCTTCCCTTTTAAAAAATATTAACTAATTATTGTTTTATCGTTTAGGTTTTGAAAAGTAATGCATATCAATGAATAAAAAATGAAGAAGTACCAAATGCTAAGACCAATGAAAAAGTATCAATGATGAGACAGTGAAGAAGTAACAAAACTATATTATTATGCATAACATGTAATTTTTTTAACTTTAAGAAACATTAATGGTATTTCTAATTGTTTACAATTTATATAATAATATTTTTGGTTATATTTAATGTTTTACATTTAATTTTTGGTTTTCATCATTATTTAATTTTGGTTTATTAATGATAATCCAAGTCTTTGAATAATAAAAAAATTAAATTATTTACATTCCCATTTCCCGTCGTTTTGGAAAACCCTCAAAAGTACGGCGTTTTCATAAACCCTCACAAATTACCCGGCGGTTTTTTGCTAACCCCGGTTATTTCCGGCGTTTTTAGTAAAACCCCCCACTACTACCCGGCGTTTTTTTCAAAACTCCCCGCTAATTGCGGCAGTTTTTAAAAAACCGCCGGTAATTACTTACCGACGCAGGTTTTCCCAACAGTTTTCCTAACCCGGGTAACATATTTTCGGGGGTTAAAACCGCCGAAAACAGAAAATAACCCCCGTAAAAAATCTAATTTTTTGTATGTTTTAGTATTATAAACTGTACATTTATATATTGTATATTTTTATGCTTATTTTGTAGAACTTGTTTAAAATCAAAGACTTGGTCTAAAGCCACTAACTAACTTAATTACTTTGTTAAAATTCAAGGAGGAAAAGTTTAGGTATTTTCATTTTAATTAGGAAAATTTTGGTGTTTTCAATAGTGAATCTGAGAAGAAAAATATTTATATATACATGTAAATTCCTTTAGGTCCCCAAAGGAAGAGAAAAATAAATTTAGTTAATCGTACGCATAAATAAAGAACTCACTGCAGATGATTTGAAAATAATTAAAAATCCACACGGAAAAAGAAAGCACACTTAATAACACGCGGTCGAGAATATATTTAAGAAAACGATATTATATAAACAAAAATATGTTTTTCGTACAGTTTAGAAAAATAATAAAACATGACACACTTCTTATTCATACTCAAAACCACTTTTTAACTCAAACTATTTTATTTTAATATTATTAACTGGATTCATTCTCTCTCTCATACTTATATACACATTGATGGAATTTGGATAGGAATGGTCGGGTCGGGCATGAATAATGTCTATCCGCAATCTGATCCGCATGCAAAAAATCGTATCCGCAATCCGATCCGTTACTCGCTGGATATCCGCATAAAAAAAATTTGCGAATTATTTTCAACCCGTGGATATTCGTTGGATACCCATTTTCAACCCACAAATATTTAAAAAATATATTTTGTGAATTTTTAAATAAGGTTTAAATTAAATTACAAGTTAAAGAGAACAAGTTAATATATTTGTTACATATTAAAAAATACCAAATATAATTTTTAAACAAGTTAAAGAAACAAATACTTAACAACTTTTGAAAAAAAAAAGATATGAAGAAGAAAGGGTTCAAATATGTTTTTTCTGTCCTTAAGTATCATGATTTTGAGGTTTATCACCTACTCGAACTTTAATGGTTTTTAGTCCTCATAGTTTTTAGAACTCTTAATATTGTCCTTAAAATGGGGACGGAGTTAACTTTTAGTAGATGTGACAAACGGCGAGACCACGTCTTATGTCAGCTTGCCTCTTCACTCTCTACCACGTTGTTTGTGCCGTTCGTCTTCTCCAGCAGAGCAGATCCTCCATCGGACCAGCCGCTCAGTCCAAGGCGCCACCACTGGTGAAGGTCTAACGTTCAAAACCGTTCCACGGAAACCGAGAACTACGTTGATTAGGATCTGAGAAGCATATGTTCCCTTATCCTGATCCCCCACATTCTCCCACCTCCCACCTCCCACCGCCCACGGCCGTAGAAGGTGGTTGTCTGCTACAACCCTCTCCTCTCCCACTCGCTCTTTTTCGCCAGAAATCATCCCCACCCCACCTCGTCACGCGGCACCTTGCCCTTATCCACGCCCGTTAATCCCCTCTATCACAACACACCACCACCACCTTCCCACGAACTAAACTCGGGTCGAGTGAATCGGGCATGCAGACGCTTCCGGACTGGTTCAACCCTTTATTATAAACCAACCCCACCGATTCGGTCCCCATTCCAGTTTTGCTGTAAAGCGAAACACTGGAGTACTGTTTTTTGTTGCCGAGCACGGCGAAGGCGAGGAAATCACGGTCCAACGTCCCAGCCCCAACGGTCATTATCCAGGGTGCAACATTTGCAAGTGAGGCCTTCTCTTCTCGGGGCCGATGGCCCGGCGGAGCAAGAGACGAATATCCCCCTGCCACTGCTCACTGCTTTGCGAACGCGCCTATAGCAATGGTGTTCGTGAAAGTACGGGCGCCAGCCCCGTCGAGGGAGAGTTTAGAGCACGTCGACGCCGTCCTGAATGGCGTGGTCCATCCCGGCGAGAATGTCTGACGCAAAGCAGCCGTCGGTCCAGCAGGAATCTCAGGCATACCGGCGTCAGTAAAGCTTGGAGATTCAGGCCACACTATTGTGTCCAGCACCCCCACGATAACGTCGTGCGACGCTTGGTTGAGGTCCTGCACAGTGTGACCCTCCTACAGCCCCGTCTCTCTCTCGAGCCCCAAAAATTGCAGTGTACGCGTGATTGCAGTTGGTAGACTGTCTCGTCGTACACTCCAAGAACATCCTCGGATCTGAGAAGCTCCTGCGCCTGGTCCTCGGCTAGCGACGCCGCAAAGCCGTTGTAGGCATGAGTATAAGAGTAAAGCAAGGGATCGGAATCAGTGGTTAAAGATTGAAGATTTGCAGTGTACCAGTCGGTGTGAGTGGGGTAGATTGAAGGTTTGTTGTTCTGTTTCATGTGAACTATGTATGTCTTCTTGGGCGATGTTAGACACCAGCAGCATTGTGCCACAAGCAAGAGGGACAAACGAAGGTGAAAAGGGAAGCCATTTCATGAAGAGAGTGAAGGTTTCTAATTTAGTGAATGAATTGTGTAGG